AAAAGTTGGGATATTTTTTTATATATGGCAAAAGTTGGGCATTTTTTTTATTCTCCCTTATTTATATGATAGATTTGAACAGTGATCATGTTTTTTGCAACACAGTATAGTACTACTATGTTTTTATATAAAATTTAAAAAAATGAAGTGGCACGAAGAGTAAAGCAAGCAAGACAATAAAAATATTAATAAATGATTAAAGTGTTACAAAGCATTATTGAATTTGTTGATTATGGAGCTGAAGGCCGAAAACTTAAGACTAAACAAGGCTCTGCAAGATCTCCAACAGCGCTATGATCATTTGGATGCGTCGACTACGAAGCAAATTCAGAATTTAATCGACGAGAACGAAATGCTGGCGGAGGCCAATCGATTATTACTTGAAAAACAGGCGCAGAATTCCCCGAAATCATCTGAAGACGCATTCGATTTCTGTCAAGTGCCAGACGAGCTACTGCTGCCCGGTCCAGCGCTGAAAATACATCCATTGATTGCACTTGAGAATATACATTCGTTTGGAAATCTACTGAGTGTCAGTACACATGCATCAAGGCCTGAGATTGTCATCACGGGTGGAGCAGACAAGTCTATCTGTGTGCACGACTGGAAAACGGGTCAGAGACTTTGCATGGTGGAAACTAGCGCCCCAGTGCTGGCCCTAGCTTTTAATCCGAAGCCAGAGTTAGCTGATTACTTTGTGGCTGCAGGAATGGATGCAAAGCACGCAGTGTATAAACTCGAACAGCACGAAGAACAGTGGATTGTACGGTTGGTATGCGAGTTTCATGATCATAATCGACAAGGCGCATTTAAACTTGCCTGGAGTGCTAGTGGATTACTTTTTGGTACTGGCTCAAGTGATAAATCGCTGAATATCTATCAGTGCTCGCAACTAGGGGGTCCAGGAGAGTATGTAGAGAAAATCAAGTCATTTTACTTTAATGGAACCGTAGAGGCCATGGTGTTCGCTCCGACGATCGGATTAGAAAGCAATGTTGCAGATGTCCACGAGCTACTAGTGGTCGCTGTGAGGGATGACTGTTACGTGCATTATATCGACTGTTCTACTTTTGAAAAAGAGAGGTGAGACTGAGATAGCTCAATTAGACATTACTGCTGCGTTCTGACAATCAATTTTGTTTAGAGTAAACATGAATCCAGACGGCATTGAGCACGTCTCGTATACGATCATGGACCTCAATCTGTCGCCGAGTGGCAAATTTCTTTTAGCAGCCACGGATTCCAATCGCAATTTTATCTTCACTGTAAGCAACAAAATTGCATCTCCAGCAAAATTTGCTGTGAGCTCACTTTTTTTTATTGCCTTGTGTAGATCAAGCAGAATGTGATTCTGAGAAATTTTTACGGACACAAGGCTGGGCCTTATAGCCAGCCTCGCGCTGTCTGGCATCCATCGGAAAAGTACATTATTTCTAATACTGAAGATAACGGCAGCATCTATGTGTGGTCTATTGCGTCTGAACAAGTTGTGGAGACACTGGATGCCCATGAGGCGTTGGTGCGAGACCTAACATGTCCAGCACCTGGCTCTCCTGCAACATCGGCGATGCTCGTAACAGTGTCGTATGACAAGCGCTTGAAAGTTTGGGATATGTGTCACGCAGAGTCTAGTATCAAGATACTGTAAATCAATGTTCCTTAAAAATTGGTGCGTCTTACGACTTGCTTAAACGAATAAGTAAATCTTTTAAATCTCTGATTTCTTGCAACGTGGCATTTGTCGTGGCTTCCCAACGGTCTATCTTCTCACAGATTGAGCTTATCATGCTATCTTTTCCTTGTAGCACTTGTTTAGACGAGTCTATGTTCACACTTTGCTCAATAGAAGAATGAGTTTGCGGTCGGGATGCCGTGCCTGTAACCTCTCTTCTTCGATTGCTGGCAAGACTGCCTGTCAATGGACGTCCACCCCCACTTCCTGCATCTATCGGCTTGATTGTACCTGCGCTGCTAGCTAAGCTTCCACCTTCGATTTGACCCCGTGAAGAATTGTCTGCCTTCGCTGTACGCACGCGGCCGTAATCCACCTCAGATTCTTGTGGGAAAAGACAAAGAAGATCGACGGTTAAAAGAAAAACGTGCAATTTTTTTCTGAAGACAATCCTACCTTTTTTATTTCTCGGAGCTGCGCCGTCCCCAGCTTTTTTAGAAATATTGTCAGCTCGACAACTTTTATTGTGGATAGCAAGTCTACCCTCGGCAAAAGTTCGCCCACAAAATTCACACGTTTCCATGCCGTGAACATTGTACGCTTCCTGTGCAGCTTGGTTGGCTGCTTCAATTTCTTGTCGAGTCATTCCTTTGCTATTGTCTGAACCTCCCTGCCCGAGATTTGGTGGAGTCTTTGGAATCGGTCGGCGCTCGTTTTTTGGTTTTTGCTCTTCCTGATATCACACATCCGTGTCGAATGCATGTGCAAGATCTTAGGATTGCATGTAAAATTTTGTTTATACCTGCTGAATCCACAACTTCTTGCACTGTTTGAGATGGATTTCAAAAGACGATAACCCATACTGTCGCCCACATACATGGCACAAACGTGTGACTGGCCCTGGCTTTAAATCTGACCATCAAAAAAGGATAATTACAAGACCAGTATGCTAGCGTAAAGCTGAAAGACAGACCCATTTAGTATTGTTGCGAATGACAATAAAACAAACTGGTGAGCATAATGTTGTGACGTCGGTTAACAATGGTTTTCCGTTTTGCAACTTAATTTTATCAGTCGCAGACGGTTGCAAGCATTCTAAGATCTTCTATTTGCTTTCTCTCTGAATTTACTAAATGAGTGGGTAGTTCCAAACATCATCGTCGTCATTCGACAATTTTGACCGTTTTTCGAGTTGTTTGTGGCGACGACCAACCTCAAAGCACCACAAAAGTCGTTTCAGTGAAGCGTATTTTTCGATTGCTGCATAATGACGCAAGGTTGCAAGACCAGCTGCCTCCTTTTCGTCGGAAAATCGTACCGCCTTTTCCATAATACCTTCATCGTGCAATAGTCGAAGCTCGCTTTCATTAAATTTTTCCAATTTGTCAACAAAGTTTGATCGTTGGGTCTCGGTAAGTACTGGAAACCCTACAAAACCTTTTGGATCCTAAGAAATAGGTACGATAACTGAATACAATATACACCAGGTATTCGTGAGAATGAATAACAGAGCTTACTATCTGCACGGTACTGAGCAGCGCATTGACAGCAAGATATTCCTTGACCTCGCTCAAAAATCTCTTATACTTTGATACAGGATTCATGCAAATCTCGACAATCGTGTAGTTGATGGATATGCTTTTCACCAGGCTTAAATATCCCCTCGACCGCACATCTGGATTATCCGTGACACTACGGAAATGTTAGTCTAAAAGCATTTTTCAGCAGATAAAGCATACATACTCGAGAGTTCGAAGTGTTCGATTAAATTTCTGTAGTGTCATAGCAAGTTCATTCAGGCCGTCACATCCAATCTTGCAATCTGACAAACTAAAAGAAGTAGGGGCATTTGTGAGTTCCAAGTTAAACTCAAGCTTCACGATGACACTGCTTCATAGCCTCACTTGAGTGATAACAGAGCGGTATTTTTTCTCAAAGCAGCAGCTATTGCGATCACCCCAGCATCTCCCAAAGGATTTTGAGCGAGTGTCAAAGACTCAATCGTGCAGTTTACTTTGAGCATTTCAGTTATAAATGTGGCGCTGTGATAATCCAGCTCATTGCCAACCAAGCTACGCACCCAAACATTTAGCACATCAGCATTAACGAGCATCAAGCTGCGGACCTGATTTCACGAAGTGTTCGAATTCGCCAAAGGACATTGCACAAGGATTCAACTCCAGCCACTTCGGTGCTGTTAAGTGTCAGTTGGTTCCAGCCAAGATCCAACTTTTTCAGCGCCGGATAGTCTTCGATGGCGTTAGCAAAAGCCACAAGTCCGTCCGACCTCAGATTCGTATGATGAAGACTACACAGAGGAGATAAAGCAGTAGTGAGTGCACGCAGATGAAATTCAAGTTTTTGGAACCGACTTAAGTTCTTGAAGTTGACACTTTTTTAGGCACTCGAACATAAATGTGATACCATGAAAATTGTTCGCCTTTGGTCCAGTCAGAGGATTTTCTGACAAATCCAGGAGTAGAAGGTGTTTGCACTCACGTTCCAAAATGATGCCGATGGCTGCAACGTCTACATGATTATAGTTTTGTCCAGAAATAATGACATTTCCACTAGTAGCAGCCTGAAATTGAATACTTTCAATCGAGATCGGATTGGTTGAGAATTGAAGAGTTCGGATGGCAGAGTTTGTGGACCGTGCAATACAAATCGCGGTTGATACTTCAGATAATGTCCTTGAAAAAGTCAGCGCCTCGACTTTGCACGTTTTGGACCGTAAGAATGCCGCTAGGAGATCAATAAATTTGTCGGGAATTAAAAATCCGGATAAATCGAGCGCATTGTTGTTGCCATTGACGAATTCTCGCACTCGCTGAACAATAAGTTCCCCTTGAGAGCTCGAAAACTTTCCATTTCGATGCATTACTCTTACTTCTGAAAGAAATCGCTGATACTCGTCCAAAATCAAGCGTCGAGTCATCCCTTTCAAGCGCTAAGCTATTTCTACAGGTAGAAGTTATAGACAAAATCCCTGCAGCAAATAAAACACAGCTCGGCTTTTCAATTTGCACCTTGTCATCACAAAAAGAAATTCTATAATCCATGCCTATATTTATAGTACAATGTATCCCATAAATTTTTTTCAAGCGCTTAGATGTGACGGAAGCTGCAACTAACTGAACACTGATATCAATTGATTTATATCAGCGAAACATTTGAATCAGCGGGGACAAAAAAAAACGATAACCGACTTGAAACGCAGCTGATGTCTTTCCGAAAAAATTAAGAGCAAGCACAGCAAGTACACACATGACGTAAATTGTAGCGGATTGCTATTCAGCAACTTGCTTGAGGAAGCATAAGGAATTACATTAATTCCCAGTGAACACCCTTGCCTTGTGGGCTTTGTACCTAGGCTCAGGTAGATTAGAGCCGTAATTCAATTTTGCACACTTCGAATAGCATGCTACGCTTTACATGTATCAAGAAACAATGCTTTAGAAACTAATGCTCAAGATATACATTTTACTATTTCTCATATTTTTTTCTAAAAGTGTCTCCTTTTTGTGGTGAGAACGATAAATTCTCATAGATACCGATATTCTGGTATTTGTGATTATCTGTAATCACAGATATTAAGAGCGACGTCTCACACTCAAGTGATTGGCTACATCACATCACATAGCGCGCATCTTCAAACTCGGGTGCACCCTGTCAACCCCGCAATACCCCAAGAGCTAAATATATCCAACCGCAAATGGCGTAATTTTTCCTCCGGTCGACTACATATTTCTAACGACTTTAAATAACCGTGACATTTTCAGAAAAGTATGCGCAGTGCATTTGAGTCCAGAGGTCTTCAATGAATTCATCATGTCAAGAGTTCAGTATGATTTAGCTGGAGGACCTTCGTGTGGAACGCGCTACGCTACATCGACTTTCGGTGTCTGGTCTCAGACCAAGGCTTACGTCAAAAGGTGCTATGGCGGCTGCAAGCGACGCTGATCACAGCACACCGCCTCTCAAGCCTGTCTGGAGCTCCAAAGTTGGTGAGCAACAACTAGGAGCATCCGGTACAGAAGATGCTCAGGGAACCCCACATTCTTCGGACATTGGGTTCATCTAATTGGAAAAATCGATCTCCTACCTCCTCCAATTGGTCTTACACCATTGACCAGCAAAGCCAAGTTAGACTCTGCTGTCTTAGGGGGCAACACATCACCCCCAACCAAAATTGCTAGATCTGACTTCAAATTTATGGCCCCGGCAGCCATATCACAAAGTTTATTGAGCAATAATGAAAAAACTAGCCCCAAGTACAATTGCCAGTAACGTGCTTACTTTCTGTGGTTATCACTGCCACACATCCAACCCAAGCACAGTACCTTCGTTAAAACAGCGACTAGAAGCGCGCAGCTATGCAACCAGGGCGCTCGCCATCTCCTTTTTCCCGCGAATGTCGTTGGCGACATTGATCGATGTGGAGAATTCGAGGATGAGGACAATGAGCTAAAGTCATTGCTAAGAGGTCACTAACGACCTCATTGAGCAGAAAGTCACTGTTCAGACTGCTTGTCATCAGGCATCACTACCTGGAGTTGCCTAGTCTTCACCAATGCTAGGTGCAATCCCCCACGCAGGAAAAAGCTCCTCCCTGGGTATACTCGTCCGGTAAAGGTTATGTAGCCCATACTTTTTTTAGTACCTCCGTGCGCGT